GCAAAACAAGTTGGGACTCTCCTACAGTGGCAGTTTAAAACTAGGTGTAACTTCACCCAAAACAAATGGATGCAGCCGGGGTGTGAGGGGACTGCCTAACTCATTAACCCCTTCGTTAACTTGCAGGCGCACTACCTCGCTTTGCAGAATTTAAGGAGGTCTCACGAAATTTGAAATGATGCTGGGGAACTTAGGGTAAAATTGCTTTGCAGTAGCATGAGGATTGAGTTTGGGGGCTGGGGAGAAAAGGAGGAAGAGGAGGTCTGTCRCAGATCCTCAAGGCACACAAGTTCGTGCACAGTAAAACACATATAGCCATCCTTGTATAGAGCATGCAAAGGCTGTTCCTGCTGTCCAGGAAGGATGTTTCAAAGGGTTCTGCTGAGGATGTAAAACCTTTCATTGAATCAGTGTGCAGAGTTTTGAGAGACAGATTTTTTTCATGCTGTTTTGAATTAGACCAGCTGGGGCACCACATGAGAAATCCCCATGCTAACAGTTATTAATTCATCCAAATAGTCAATATGCTGGATATCTCTGTCTGTCAAAACACAGACAATCACACAGAGGCTCACAAATGTGGCCTTTATCCTCAGCTGTCCTCAAAGAGCTTTCTCATTTTGATTTTTTTCTCACTGTACCAGGAAATACAAACAGTTTTGTAAGCACGCAGTGAGCACATGTCTTCATTTGGCATCCCAGCTCCCCCAACAAGATCATGCAATTGGTGGAAACGTGGAGAGCAACCAGTTTTGTAACACCACGTATGGAAAAACCAGGCATGCAAAACTGGATGCTGGGCTGAAAATGCGGCTTGTCAAGGATAATGAAAGAGACAGGAGGCAATTAAAAAGGAGAAAAGTGACAATCTGACAACATGCTCAATTAATGTAATCAGATTTCACATTTGCTTCATGAAAGTAGTAAATCAAAGCATATAGTGGGAATGATATGAACTTTTTAATATTAAAAACTATTCTCATAATATGCAAAGGGAGAGAATACCAGAAATTTTCTGTCTGTTGCCAATCATTAACTGATTTAGGATAGACCTTGTTGAGTAATTATGTTTAATGAGAGCTTGTCCATACAAGCTGCTATCAGATGTCATTTTATACAGTTTCAAGCCAGATATAATGGGTTAGATGCACATATTAACTTACTATAATACTGCACTGTTTTTTTTATGGGGGAGGGGGTGGGAAAATTCAAAACTGATTATTGTGTGGCTTCCTTTCAGGCAGTTGTATTTGATCTAATTTGATTTATTGCCGCACATTTTGAATGAGCAGAAATGTCTTGAGGGGAAAAAAGAGACTTGTTACAGTATATGTTCACATTAATATATTTTCACCTGCTTGCTTGGTGGGCTCCGCAGTTGGCTGCATTCATTACTGCTTGGGAGTCATCTGTATTAAAAAGCTGCTCTTTATCTTTTTGCTTTTTCTCGTAGGGATGTAATAAGCTTCCCACACCCTCCGCGAGAGATGATTGTGTAACTAATCCGTGCTGGCATAACAAAGTTTTCACCAAGCTTATTAATATTACTTAACAGAAATGCAGGACAAAGGGAGATGTCTATTTTTTGTGAGTAAAACGCAGCTGTAGCTCATAGGTATTTTTTTCAAAAGGGGTCCTAGAAGGATGTCTTGAAGCTCAAGACCTGCAGGATAAACTTGCATGGAGGTTAAAAGGTTTGCTTTGTTTTAGATAACTGTGTAAAAGTTTGGATGAGTGTTATTTGGAGGCRCAGAGCTACAAACAATTCTCCCAACTGCTCAAGGGCTTCTGGGTCACCCCAGTGTAACTCAGCTCAGTCTTTCATTTGTTGTCACTCCTCCTCTCTGGCATCCAGACATGATGGGGAGGAAACAGTGGCCTTTCTGTCACGCTCTTTCACAGTCTATAAAGAAAACATAAACACTTATAGAAACATAAAAATATTAATTAACACTTCTGCATAGAACTACCCACTCTGCAGTGCAAGAACTCAAGTTCCTTCTGCTGTTTAAGTGCAGAAGGRGAAAATTAGTATTGTCTTGAACGAAATTTCAGATTTGGCACTGACTTTCCACATGGTGGTGGGAAAGGGCCATATCTTTTGGGATTTGACATTTAAAACGAGGCTGTCCTGCTTTATCTAACCTGTCTGAGTCTTATACATTAATACTGCAAAGACTTGTTATGATTTTATTTGGCACTGTATCTTCACRTGTTCTTGTACGTGCACTGTCTCACCAGATGCCAAGTGCCTGTAGTGGCAGGGGATTGCCTTGCTAAAGGAGATCCAAGACATATATGCTATCTGCTTGAAGGATGAATTCCACTTTATTTTAAAATCTTTTCTGGGTCCGTTTCACTGCTGATCTTTCTCAGTTCAGCCTTATTTGTCCTCCCTAAGTTGCATGCGCTTTGTCTGAAACTATGAAGCAGCATCTGTGCGTGCAACGTGCAGACAGCTCCACTGTACTTGCTGCTGCTGGCCTGAGCACATGCATCCAAAATTAGGTCTTGATATGGTAGGTGTTGGCCTAGGAAGGTAATTTGTTTTGCTGGCACTGCTTTGGATCTTGTAGTGAAATGTTTGCTTTTTGCTGCAAAACCTTCATGAGGAAAAAAGGAGACTTTGCATAAAAGGATAGGAATAGGCATTCAGTTTGACATGAAAGGAAGAGGCATCTGAGACAAGAAAATAACCTATTCTCATGACTTTTATGATAATATTTTTGTTGAAATTCCTTCTGTTACAGCAAGAGCTTATACTGCATCTCATGACCTGAGTTTAGCTCTATAATGGTCTCAGCAAGAACGCTGCTGAATCTGTGGGAACTTCAGGTTTCAGTCACCACATGGTTGAGAAGTTTAATTTTCTCCACTGTATTTGCATGCTGAGAAACACAGAATGCAGCAGGTGCCAAGGTCTGGTGTTCAGAGGAGTGTGTCCGCTTTGACTCCCGGTGCGAGGCCGCGTTTGGGAGCCCGTGTGCACCCGCACCCTGAGCRCCACGGTGCTCCCCAGCTGCAGAGCAGGGGCAGCAGCTCTGCCTTTTCTCACACGCATACTCATTAGGGAATTTTATTACCTGGGCCGTAATCCCTCCCTGGGGGGGATGCCTTGTGCACAAAATTAATCTCACTTGCCCACAGAAACTCCCTGTGCCTTTGGTGAGTAAGTCTTTACACACAGAGGAAAAGAACATCTAAGGCAAAGCAACCTCGTTTATAAGATGTGGTGGAAAATATCTCACACCACTCTGGGTCTTGCTGCTGGCTTCTGTCTGAAAAGCCTCGGCCGCTGGACCTGCCCATGCTGCCTGCACGGGCTGAGGGCAGAAGGGACAAGCAGGACCCATTGCACCGAGTCCAGGGTGGTGCTGGGCATCTCCTGTGCAACCTCCCTCACAGCCCAAGCATTTTCCATGAAATACATCTTGCCTTCATCTMCTCCCCCTTTCCTCCTCATCCTTTCAGCTGGTTCTACCTGCCATTTCAGCAGGTAAACACTGTCACTTCAGTAGCATTAAGTCATTTTGCAGCAATGTCCACTGCCTTCAAAAAGCATTGTTTGTTTGTATGTGTGTGTTTTCTTTTTTTTTTTTTTTTATTAAGAGAGAAATGGAAATTAAAAAAAAATGGCTGAAAACAAAAGTAAGATTTGCCCCCGAAACCTCTGAACTTTCAGGGTGACTTAAAATGTTTGAATGTTTGAAATTCCTGCAGAGGAAGGAGGGAGAAAATATGCTTTCACCGTGTTTCCAGTGATGCCCATGTTTCTCCTCAAGGTGGAAAGATGGTTTCTTGAAGTCAGTTTTTCATCAGCAGTGGCAGTTTGAGTCCTCYGATTCTTTCTTTCTCTCCATTTTCTTTGTCCCACAGCTAGAGTCATTTCTCTCTTCAACTTCCTTCTCTTCCTTCCCTCCAAAACACGCACATTCTGCCACCATTTTGCTATTTATCAAAGAAGAGAAAAAAGGAGACAGACATAGCTGAAATTTGTCATTTTTACTAAAGATAATAGAACTTTTTTTGAAGTGTTACTGTGATTTTTCGAAGAAAATGAAGGGGCTTTTTTCTTTACTTCTTTGTTTCCTCCAAAACGTTAAGGTTCTGCTTAAGTGATTCTTAAATGGCACTGGATTCAAGGCCTTCACATTTCATCAGCATCYGTAATGAGCTTGAGGTGCCTCTAATAAATCTCAGCCTTTTAATGAATTCTTTATAGCTCCTAACTGCTTCAGATAGAGATTGACGAGTGTAACCGGTAGCGCAAAATCTTGGCATGCAATAAGACGAACAGCTCCATCCTTTCCCTCTGGCATCCCATCTGAATATCTGCAGCAGAGATAACCAAGAATCTGTCACTCCTATGAAGTTCGTGAAATTTAATTAGGAAACTAATAAAACAACCCTCATATGGTACCGCAGTTACCTAGGAGATATTATATATTGTCTAAGAGCTTCTACYAGTGGAGCAGAATTGCATGTGATTGAGATCTGCTGCTTGGGTGAAGACCGTTAAGAGTGACCACCTCTCCATTGCAAACCATTTCCTACTGGGGTGAATTATTTACTAGAAAGAAATATCTTACACTCCTTGAGTGAGCCATTTTTGCACCATTGACAAGCAAAGGCTAGGATATTAATTACATCTAAACACAACTAAATTTAGGGGAGAGCTTGTAGGTTTTTTTTCCTCCRGTTTCAGTTCTTGGTCAGAATATCCATGAGAAAGAGCCTGCTTTTGAGTTCTAACTCAGGTGCTCTGGAAATTATCCTTCCCCAGGTGGCTTTCTTCTTTGGAACTTCTTTTCAGGGCCAAAAACTAAGACAAGTGATCTCAGCTGTAGTGGAGGAGGTSGTCATGGTGAGTAGAATCACATGAGAGTCACCGTGCAGGATCTTGCTGAAATTTGTTACTAAGCAAGAGCTGTGCGTGATATCCTCAGATTTACTCAAACCTACTCTTTTCAAATGAATGGAATTTCAGCATCAATTTCAAGTGAGTGAATTTGGGTTTAATACAGCTGTTTAGAAGGTATGTCATAGAAGTTTTTATTGTGTTGGCTAATCTATGAACATATATGGTATAAAGTTACTGTTAAAAATCACCAGGAAATGGTTTAGTTGAGTTGAGAGTTGTTAGGGTTTGAAATATTTTACCCATACCACATCAGAAAAACACTGGTCTTTGTATGTGCATTTAAAATTCTTTTTTTTGATGGCAAATTAACTTATATTTCTAAAAGAAAATCTACTTCAAATCAACAGCACTTTTGTTGTTGTTCTGCTAAGGAAGACTGCTTTGACCATTTCAAAGCTATTGTTTTTAGATGAATAGTTAAAACTTAAAAAATCTACTGTGGCAGACAGATGACTGAACTTGTAAAAYGAAGTCTACCAACTTCAGCTCTACCAAGTCAGAATGTTTACCTTCAAATATAATAAGAGATAGACCTTTAGCCTACTTCCAGTCCTCCCAAATAAAACCCTCCAAAGCGAGGAGTATTTTCATAACAGCTTGCAGCCTTGGCTTAACGACTGATAACAAGTTTCGGGGTTGTAGCGTGTCTGTGGTGCAGGAGCTGCGCTGATCTGGCCGCGACAAGAAAGCAGGAGTCAGGGCCTGGGTTCTATTTTTATCTCTGGTGTTGTCTCTCTGAAGTGTCGAGCAAGTCATTTTACCGTGATGAATTGGAGTGACCTCACCAGGGTGTCGTGAGTGATGACTGACTAACAAGCGAGGCTCTGGGCTTCTCTTGTGTGGTGGCAAGTCCCCTTGAGCCAAGAAGTTGGTGAGATTGTATCCATGAGCATTTGGCCTATCAGAAAGGTCTTGTCCCGAACTGATGACAGTATCTGACCAACATATCATTAAGACTTTCTCATGGTTAGGAATGAATTGCATCGATGAAATGACTTTCCTGTAGGCTTAAAGTCTCTTGGGAATATTATATGAGTGTGGAACTTGTTGCCTCACATTATGGGTTCAAAACCAAGCTTGTTAACTCTTACTGGAAAACTGTTACATGTCCTCTTTACACCTTGTGCCAGCTGAAACTAACTGTCTGGCTCTGGATGTCCATCATATCTGTAAAGTCATCTTTCCTGTTAGGAATATTAGGTGCTGCCAGTAAAGAAACAAGCATGACTATGCCCCAGGAATCATCAAAACAGGGAACATCTCGGAGTCAGGATGGAGTTAAATTTCTTTCTCCATGGTATAATTAATGAGAGAAATGGGCTGTTTATAATTTTGATGATATTAAACTTGATAAAGTTTCTGGGCCAGATTCTCTTCTCATTTATGCTGGTATGAATCAGGAGCCTATGAGAGGAGATCTTGGCCAAAGGGAGTTCTTATGATAAACCTCAGGCTAAACAAGATTGAAATCTTCCACTCCCATGATACCCCTCCAAACACCTCTTTTGTTCTTGTTTTAAAGGCTGGGTATATTTATAGTGCAAGTCATATAAAGATTATTGCCATTAATTAATCCCGTTCTTGGCTTTTAATCTCCTCCTTTTCAGGAGCACTAAAATAATTCACATACCAAAACAATAGTGTTGAAAAGGTTTCCATCTGCTTTCCATCTTTTCCAAGAAATTTTTAGACATTAGCCTATTTCCCAGGAGGCCATCTCCCCAAGGAAGCATATCCTGACCAACATGTCTTTTCAAATCACACTAATTAAGGTGGTTCTATGTGAGTCACAGGGACTTTCCTCCTCTTTCATAAGATAGGAGTGATTCTCTTTATACAAGGTAAAATAAAATAGTTGTGTTACTAATGGAGAGCAAGCATGATAGCCTATATATGTCACCTGATTTTAGCTGATGCAGGCAGAACTCCATAAGGGCTAGGCTGTCAGATAATGTAAATAGCATAGCTCCATTKACTTGCTGATGAGCTGTCCTTATGAATCCAATGTATAAAGCCAGTATATGACATCCGTAGATCTTGTATAGCAACCTGGCTTTGTAAGTAAACTATTTCAAACACTGAACAGATTCAAAAGCAAAAATGAAAAGGTATTCGTGAATGAATTGCAAGTAAAAATCTACATAAACAAAAACTCATTTATTTGCAATGCATAATTTCAGCAGTTATATTTGTAATAAGCCCTCAGTTCTTTCAGAGATAAAAGCTGTTATACAGGAAGATATGCTAAGTGACTATCTAGCAATAATTCTTAATTTTATTTACTTGAACATTTGCAAGTTCTTTAAGCACGTATGTCTACAAGTGATGAGAAAATTTATCTAAATCACTGTTCTCATAACAAAACTTCTATTAAAGAAAAAAGAGAAAGCTTTTTCTACAGCAGACTTTATGCTGTCAACTAAAAAAAAGAATGAAACCTCTCTATTGTACATTCTGTACACTGTACATCACTACTAATGCTCCAGAAGCTTAACAGTGAAAATAATGGTGTTAAACTTGTTACAGAAAAAAAAAATATAGCAATGAAAAATTGGCCTCTGCCATACAGAATGAAATTTTTAAAAGTGTATTGTAAAAAAAGGCGGAACCATGGAGACATGTTCTGTTGCCTCCCTCCCTCTTTTGTGAAGAAGGCAACAGAAAATGACATCATAACAAGAGATCATCAAAACCGTTACACTGACTCCAAGTTCCTGTSATTTTTCCTAAGTTTAGAACTTGTCTGTGCACCTTTGACTCCATGTCAGGTCAAAACTGGAAAGGAACCGTCTCTGAAGCCAACTGTGTGCCTGCGAGCCTACAAAATCTTAACAGTAGATGGTATTGCAAGATTTTGTTCTTTGAGACTACCAATTGCCCAAATAATGGGATTTTGCCGTTCCCACTCCAAACTCCATCAGCAGAGTTTTCATCCAGCTGCAAGGTTGCAAGTCCTGGCTCAGGAGTGTCTGTAAATGTGCATTCTGCTCTCTGTCAGCCACAAAATTGCAGGCACCAGGAGATGGGTGCCCTAAGAAGCGGTTATTTCTCCTTCCTTCCCCTGAGCGGTTACATGACCCAGACCCAGCAGAAGTTAAAACTATCCCCTGCTCCATGTTCCTACTTGGGCCAGCAGTTCACATCACTCTACTATTTTCACACAAAAGAGTAATTTTGTATTCTATAACAATGAGCCTGGTATTTCCGTAGTGATGCATATTGTTATAATCTCTCTCTGCTTTGTTTCCTCGACATATTTTTTTATTAAAAAGTCTTCCCAGCCTTAAATAAGTACAGAATAAGTGTGGTCATTCTGGGAACATGAGAGGCCTGATTATCTGACCATCAAAGCCTCTGCTGTAAACAGGATACTAGTAAACAGGAACTAAACCCCATATGGAGAGTTTGTGGTTTTCTTCAGCCTCTGTTTGTTATGTCTTACATCCTGTTAATTATAGAAAAAGAGTTGGAAAGTTGGAAATAATCTTTTCTCCAGATTATTTCCAGCTTCTCCCACATAGAAGAAAGTCCAGCGTAGTACTGTCTTACCTTGCTTCCTTCAGATGTAAAGCATTAAGACAATTCATTCCAAGAGGATAATTTTTCAATTATCCTCTTACCTCAAGAGGGTTGTAAGTAGTTTTTTCTTAATTACAAAACAAAATTTAAGATTTGATGTCATCCTATTCTGAGAATCCTCTARATTTTAGTACAGATTTTTGAAATATTTTTCTCACCTGGCTTAAAATCTTTCAATTTTTTAAGACAATTTATATGATGGGTGTAATTCAGCTGTAAGAAGGTGAATCCCTAGAACTTTTATTCCATTAAAAAAAAAAAGAATTTAATTTGAATTCAGGTTTAAGTTATCCATGTTTCTACAAGATTTTGCTAATAGGGTATCGTTTCTAGATCACYTTTTTAGCTAGCAAAAATTGCTGAGTCCCCAGGGCAGATGGTCCATGCTTCCAGAAAAGAGATTTGCTTAGGGCAGGCCAAAACAGTGAAGACAACCAAGCCTGTGTTCCTGCTGCTTGTCCTTTACTCTTGGCCCTATATGAAGCATTGCTAATCTGAAACATTGCTCATCTTTCAAGCATCACTCAGTCCAAGTTTCCTATTTTAGAAAATTAAGACAGGAGCAAAGAATGGGAAAACTTTTTGCTAAGTTTTGCATTTTGTGGTAGATTCCCCCTTATTCTTAACAACCTGCTCTGGAGGCATTTTGATGCCTGCTGGAGCCATCTCCAAAATGGCATAAGGGGCTGATGCTTTTGTTTTGTTTTGACCTCTTCTTGTCAGATTAGGCTTTGTTTTGCAAAGCAAGAAGCCAAAATTCATTTGATTCAAGGTCCCTTGTTATCTGGAAGAACTGAAAGTACCAACCGCTGCTTATGTTTCTTAGACAGCCCTGAAGCAGAGACCACAAATAAATCTTCCGTTACGTTATTTTTCAGCTCTCTATTCTCAGCACTGGTTCTTTAAGCGGCTCTGTGATGCCAACCATCTGGTCCAAATTGCAGCATTATTCTTGAGCTGGGCACGGCCAAGTCCCCTGCCCCGAGCGGCAAGCTCAGGGCAAAAGCTCAAGCCAAGTCCCTCCCTATGTCATCCAGAGTCTCAGTGGCCACCAGGCCTGATCCATGCGGGGAGGAACGTTGGCCAACTTCCCCCCACACCATTGCCCATGTTCAAGGCCTCGCAGGACTTGAATTCCTTCCCCAGCACCTCCAGTCCTGARACTGCCCCTGGGACAAGAAAGCCGTTTTAGGATTATGGGATGACCAGGAAGAATTAAAGGGTTGGCAAGAGAATTGGCTGACTGCAAACAGTATGGGTGGGATGTTATAAAAACACTCAGTGCTGGCATAACTCTGTTCCCATTAAACTCAAGGAATAAAATTCCTACCAACTTTACCAGGAGCAGCTGATGCTGAGAGCTTTTGAAATCCYGCTGTATAGCTGCACCCACTTTATGTAGCCATTTTAATGACATGATTAATAAAATACCAATGGAGCTCCAAACTGTTCTGTGTTCGTTTTCCAAAGCAGTTTGACTCATCTATAATCACAAGCAGACTTGCAATTACACTGGATTTTAATTGTTCTCCTTA